AACAGGCAGAACTCAATCAGGAGACTCTGTCCACTTGTGGCTGACACTTCAGCAGACACAGCCAGTAATATACTATTATGTTAACACCATGTGACAGTTTACAACCAATCACAGGGCTCTCAGCTCAAAGAGTTTCTTATCAAACAAGAGAGGTCAGTCCCTCGCTGGAGTCCTGTTGTCTGGGCCAACACAGATTAACATTGATCATAAGATATATGAATACTGGACAGCGTCAAGGTGAACCAGAYAGATAATTAGTCCATAACAGCAAATATTATATTTTAATATTATATATGTGTGAAAATGTTTACCTCTAGTTTTCTTGTATTTTGCCTAAAAGGAGACAGAGTTAATCTTTTTAAAGTGGTCTGTATTCTTCAGGCTTTCTGAAGATCTTTCTTTGTTTTTCTTTAAACTTTTGCTGCTTTTGAACTCATTTTCAGTCCAGTCATTGTTTGACCATGATAGCATATACAGCTGTGTGTCATTTGTGCTTAAAAATAAGGAAGTGAGACAAGTGGAATAAAATACTGCTCCATCAGTACTTTGTTGCACCACCTCTTTTATAACAGCTTAATATGTCTGAGGCATGAACCTAACTCATGATTAGCAGTTCCTTCCATCTTCATTAAGCCTTATTGTTGTTGGCAGAGTTTGCCGGTTGGAACCTTGGACTCTTGGAGAAGTCCATTTCCCTCCTTGGTTTATCTGAAAGGACACCTTCATCCATTCAGCTACAGCCCATGAATTCTTTTCTTTAACACACTCTCACCTTTTTTATTCTCTGTTTGTGTGTAAGTGAATACTTTCTTTTAGGCTCTTGTCTTGTTTGTCTCCAAGTGTCCCTGTGATGGACTTGTGACATGTCCAGACATTGCAGTGACCCTGAAAGGAAAAAAAAAACAGATTATGAATAGAATAGAACAGAACAGAACAGAATAGAATAGAATAGAATAGAATAGAATAGAAACAGCCTTTATAGTCCCGTGCGGGGAAATTCAGGTGTGGTAGCAGCAGCAGATACATATATCAATCCACAGAAACAGTATATTGCTATGTGACATTATCATTTATAGATAATGGGTGGATGTTTCTGTGTTTCAGATGTAGATCTTTATTGTGTTTAAATTTTTGTGTTTTTTCCTGCTTGTTCAGCTTTTTGTTTGTTCTCAGTCAGTCACCCTCAGCTGTTCAGTCTCCAGTTAAGTCAGCTGTTCCCAAGACCTCGTTACCTCTGCTCCATATAGTCAGTTTCCTGCCACCACCTCAGCAAATCATTGTATGAGTTTTGCTATCACGTCTCAGTCCGCCTACCTTTTCTGTCCTGACGTCAACTTTAAGGGTTGCTCATCTTTATTTRCAGAGTTCCATCTGCCTGCTTTGAGGTCATCAACATTATCTTTGATGCTTTCATTTGACTTTTCTGTCTGTAAACCTMGTTTCTTTTAGGCGGTTTCTTTAATCATTTCACAAGTGTTAACTGAATAACTTGTTTCACTTTTGTTTTCTTGTTCATTTTTTGTCTTCAAGACATTTTTAAGTTTTCCATCTTAATGCTTTGATTTCCTCCTTGGTCGACCAGTTTGCTTCCCTTATTTTTCAACCTTCTCCTTTTGTCCATCTGAGAACAATCATCTTTTGTAACATTTTCTACTGATTACACTTCTTGAGGAAATTTCATAATGCTCTTTTTTTTGTTTGAACCAACATTTTCTAATGGATCCCAGATTCATGTCATTCTGCTTTATGCAACATCTCTCTAAGGTGTTGACACTCGTTTAGCTGAAGACTAATTAGATTTAATTTGATGTGGGAGTTTGTGTTAGAACTGAAAATTACAGTGATTCCATGTTTTCCTCCACTTGACTGAAATAACAGCAGATGTGACTAAAAACTATTCATTGTTTCTTAAGAAGGTTAGAATTTTCTCCATCTTCTTCCATTTATCCATAAAGGTTAGAATTTAAAAACATTTTTTGGGTACTACTCTGTGATTTCTTTTTAATATACAAATAATTGAAAGAACATCTTCCAAGATTGTGATTCCATAGTTTTTGTAGCCTTTGCTTGAACCATTTTCTAACAGCACCACTAGATGGTGATGTATCCCAGACATCACTTTGAAATGAAACAACATAATCATGTACGTTTTTTTACTTTCATCTTTATCACAGTCCCAAACACAACGCATGGGAATGTACATTTATATATATTATAATCTGACAATAGAAAACAAAATGAGCTATGTATTTACATCTAAAAACTCTGTTCATTATAAATACATTTTAAATGGTCCACATGCCAGTGGATAAAAACATTTACAGTTTAATTTAATTCAAGTACCAGCAGCGAAATGCAAAATGCTACGAAGGGGGATTTGAACAAGTCATCATTGTTTTCCAGGTTTAACATCGTATTCATAGTTTCTGTCCCAGTCCGTCCAGCCAGTCTAGAACCGTGTTCAGTTCTCCCACTGCTTTATGTGCTGCTGGTCGTATCTGCAGCTAATCAGGGGGGAAAGAGGAAAAGAAAGAGAGCAAATAGGTTTAATGATGGTATGTGATTAATTTCATCACTGACAGCTAAAACAAGAGATTGTGTTAAATGGCTAGTTTGACCATTTGAATGATCAGTATGAGTCAAATGTCACTAAGTATGAAGAAAAGGACAGAAGATAAACTGGTTTTCAGGCTTTTAAAACAACTTATTCAGTAAAACATTACATTAAATATTAAAACTACACTTTGAAATGATGTTTGTTTCGTTTGCTGCTGTTTCACATCAGAACACTGTGCTATTTTGTGAGTACATGTGTGCTGAGCGTAGTTAGCCAGCAGTTCAAACGTTTTAGGTTTAACATGGCTAATGCAGCATTTTTTTTAACTGTAAGTCACTTTTGAGAAAAAAAAGATTTATATGCCTATAAAAACAACTCTAAAAATGCTACTTGTTTGGATAATTCAAGCTTGGATGAAGACTTTTGCACCTTTTTTTCCATACTTCATACTCTAGGACTGGTGTCACTACTATTTGACCAAGCAATGTCTAATTCATTTTTTTCTGTTGTTTTTTATGCCAACTAGATAGTTACAAAAAAGGTCAACACTGTTTATTTCTAAGGTTTTGCTGACAGCAAAGGCCTTCCTTTTCATAATCTTTTATTTATTTAACCTTTAAAATTCTATTATGTTATAGTTTCTCTCAACAACACTTTACGTATATTCATATCGATTTATTTAACTATAGTATGGCTCTGTTATTTAGCGTTCAATGAGTAATAATGTTTACCATGTCAAACTTGGAGTGGACTGTGTCGATTGTTCTCTGGGTTTCTTCTCCACAGTGGCAGTGCTGCACAGATCAGAACAAGATTAGAACCACCTTCCACAATCATCTCATYTAGTTTGCGAAGAACAATAATATCAGACTTACACATCTGTGCATATCTCTTCTGATGGTGACGAAAGCGTTTGCCAGGGCGCTGGAGCCGCGCTGGTGGTGTGGCTGCGAGGACTCGAAGTTGTGGAACACTCGCTCAACGTAGAAGCGCAGCACGAGACGCAAGAAGCAGCACGTCTGGCCGTTCTGATGGAAACGCACACGTTATTTACTGTGTGTTGGGGTAAAGGGGCGCAGGTGTACTTTTGGGTCAGAACAGAAGTGGTGACGTAACAAGCAAAAAGGCCTCACCTGGACGTGATTGATTAGAGAGCCATCCAGAAGTTTCACTCCGATCTCATTGTCTCCTGATTGCTGATGGGGGAGAATCACAAAGAACTACATTAGAATCAGGTTTGCCAAACTCAAGGTCCATGGGCCAAATCTGGCCCTTGTTAACATTTTATCCGATCCCAAAGGTAATACTTTAAATGCAAAATAGCTTTATAGTTTCTCTTTTTGTCACTAGATTTAAAGCATTCTTCTCGTGAAAGCAGGTCAACTTTCAAGTCAGTGAAAATAGGTTCGAATTTTTCATTAATCTTAGACTATGACATGGAAAGAGCAGCAGAAAATTGACTTTAATTATCTTTTTCTCCTATTCTGTATAAGCCAAATAATTATTTTTTAGTGAGGGTTTTCTTTTTTTAACAAGATTTGCTAGATTGTGATAAAAGGCATCTAAATGACAAAGTTGTCGATGGAGAGAAAGTCATAAATTATGTGACTTCCTAGATTTAATTTATTTTCTTTATCCATTAGCTTATGTATGTTCTAAATGCTACATGAAACATAATTTGGAATAGGTCATTTGTATTTCAATAAAAATTATTTATGTAACATTTTTTGATAAGTATTAAAAGAAAATTTGTGTAACTTATTTTGACACCCCTAATAGTTCTTGATAATTACAGGTGTTTGGAGGGAGTAAAGTGTGTACACGTGTTAAACTCACCGCGTGTTGTCGTATGTCGGAGTAATGGCTGCGCAGTTCATGTAGGTGAACGTGGGCAGAACAGCCGTCTACGTGCAGAGTTCGACCCTCGGTGGTCCTGCACAGACATCCGAGGAGGAGCAGGAGGAGGGAGGAGGCAAAGGAGCCGAGCTGCATCATTGTGATTATCTGGTGGTAAAGCTGACAAGGGGGGCAACAGATTCTGTTAAACCTCTACAGAAAACCCTTTTAAAAACTTATTACTTAAGAAACATGAAGCAGAAGCTGTAGAATCTGTCTAATTGAAACTGAGAACACTGATCTGAGCAAAATTGAAGAGTAAACCATAACTATAGTTATAATTTGAAGGTTGGATCACATAAAGGGCAACATAAAATCTGACATCAAGCTGTGAACAGACACGCACTGCAATAAAACCATTCTGTTACTCCTAATGAGGACATCTCAGTGAATATTTCTTTTTCTACATTATTAACACAGTAACTGATGAACAATGTAAAGAAAATACAAAAGCGAACAGAGGTGGACTGGGGAGAAAAAAATGGCTGGGGAAATCCCATATATATATATATATATATATATATATATATATGTATATATATATGATTTCTCTTCTGTGTTCTAAGCTATAGACCTTCATGAAACTCTAAAGCTCCCACTACTTCAAACATTTTCAATTGACAAAACCTCCCTGATGGGAAGAGGAAAATCTAGTTTCAAAATAGAAGTCCAGTTATATACAGTATATAGCTTAAAAATATTGATTTATTTAATGTCTCTAGCCTCATGAAAAGCTTCATCCTGATATTGAGGACATTTATTTTATACTAGTTGTCTTTATTCAGATGAACTATTTTACATTTATTTTAAGTAAAATATATATATATATTTATATTTTTAATTCTTAGTTTAAAAACATTTTATATTTATAAAGTTCTACTAATCTTATATAGCTGGGCAAAAATTAAAATAAGCACAAAGCTTGGGACTCGAGGATAAAACTGGTGGGGCACAGCCCCMCGTGGCCACCCCCACTTGTTGCGCCCCTGGTGACTGACAGGTGATGTTCCACGGTGAAATGACGAGCTGGAGCACTGCGCATCTCGGGGCTACCGAAACCCTCGGTGTGCCGGTGGTTTAGTGGGTCAGTGGGCCGTGAACCGGCCCACGAGGTGAACCACCGGCCCCACGCCCGTCGTCGTCTGCGCAGGGCACGGGCTGGTGGTTCACCTCAGCCCCTGAAGCACCGGCCCAGCCGCAGGTCAGAGGGCCGGTGGTTCAGTCCGTGAACCGGCCCACAGGCTGAAGTGAACATGGGAGTGAACCACCCGCCTGACACGCGCAGTTCGTCTGCGACATCAAGGAGCGACAGGTTCTGTGGGCGCTGATGGTTTTCTGGATTTAAGCTGTGTCATATAAATGACTTCACCTCTCCTCAGCACCGGTCAGGCAGATCATACCGCACAGCTGACTGCGCTGCAGAGCGGCCACCTGAGCTGACGATGAGGAGCGGAGTTCAGAGAAACTAGTCCTCCCACATGTCCACCTCTCAGCAATGTTAAAACCAAACCCAGCCACCATGAACAGTAAGCGCACCTGTTCTCAGACTCACCTGTGTGCTTCTGCAGAGGAGGAGTCTCACTGAAGTGTGTATCTCTCTGTCTCCATCCTCTCGCCTCTTATAGCAGCTTGAAGGGGGATTTACCTTTTTTTTTTGTTGGCTTACAACACACACTAACCTGCATGAGCTCCCACGTGCGAGTTCAGAAGGAACTGCGTGATGCAATTAAAGGAGTTCCCACCCAGCTGTGTGCGCGCGCGCGTGTGTGCGTGTGAAAAGGAAAATGAGCAATTAAGCATTCTTTCTATTGTGACGTAGCCAGGTCATAACAAAGAAACAATACTATCACTGATTGTTGTATTGCACAAGTTCTTCCATTAGACTTTAGTGTCATTAACTCATTTGCAACTTGCTTACAGCCCTTGGAATTCTGGGTAAGAGTATTTTTAAGGAAAGAAAATCCAGTAAATAAGAGTTTTGCTCCTCCATATTATAGAACCAATTCTGTCTTTGTTCCTGCCAATAACGCTTTCGTCAGCACGTTTTCTGTTTCCTGCAGGTTCTGAGATGCCATCACAAGGCCTTTTCAAAAACTCCTGCCAGGCGTGTTTACGGTGAAGGCTGAACCGCCACGTGCAGTAAAGTTTTTTTTTTTTTTTTAAGTTCAGAGAAATAGCTGGAAAGTCCGGCGGAAACAGGAAATACATGTGCCTGCAGAGTGTTTCTGAGTTACCTTGGAACTCTAGTCTTGGAAATCAAGTTCAAAATTCCCATATTTTTTTTYCTACAAACTGCAAACATGCATTTGGAACAAAAGGGGAAAATYAGTGGTGACAACCCATTCATAACTCAGGGAGGCTGGCTTGTTGTGCTGAGAACCACTAGAGGTCGTGTGGAAGCCGGTCCTCGAAGAAACGCTTTCGTTTTGTTCACCAGAAAGACAGCATACATTTCAAACAAGTTCTGATCTTTACTGATTTTCTTATCTTTCTATACAAAGATAAGAACTTTGACATCACAAGTATACGTATGATGTCATCATTCTTGTCATCTGATGGTAGACAACGTCACAACCTAATAATGACCTTTCTGTGGAACAGATATCAACAGTAGTTATTATCTTATCTGCTGTAAATACTTGAAAGACCTGAGTTTGAAGAATTAAAGCTCAGTTAGTTGCCCACTAATGTTGTATGTAGCAGACCACGTATTTTCTTTTACCTTTTAAATTTGTTCATTTTGTTGCATTTCATCATAAATTTAACAATTTACAATTGATTTAAAATATATTTGTATGTTAAATTAAAACAAAAATAAAAACAATCTTTAAAAAAAATCTTATTTTTTTCATTGGCGAGCTGAAAGGAAATCACCCACGGGCTGAATGTAGCTTGTGGGCCRCCAKTAGCACTGGTTTTAGATATCAGCTAATATTTGTAGTCTTGACCCTGCTCAGACTAGTCATTAGCTCTTCAGTCCAGTTAGAACCAAACTCTACAGGTAAGATATTAACTGCTCATAACTGCTCAAGGGAATCCCATCCAAGAATATCTAATGTTTAAACTATTGCCTTGAAAAAAGAAAACTTTAAAGTGTTGAGCCTTTATTAACTTAAAGTTATTTTATCATCTGAACTATTTTTAGGAGGTGAAAAGAGGTAAAAAATAATTGTGACTTGCCAAAAAATAAAATAAAATAAAATAAAATAAAATAGAATAAAATAAAAATAATAAAGCACTGGTCCAAAGTGAAGAGCATTATGAACATGAATAAAATAACATCAGTAAAAGAAAATAACAAAAAACGATAAATTGACCAAATACATTTTATTTCCTATTATTTGTACAAAGCGTCTTTATACAGAGGAATAATATACATAAAATTATGATAAAGAAGAACAGAAAGACAATTTTTACACTGAGAACCTTGAAAATCAGTCTGCAGGTCTGTCCATTGAGCACATCTGCTGACAAACACAACTATCCTCTGTCTGCTTCTCTGTCAGTGGACCTGTAGTTTCAGTCGACTTATTGTATTTTTTTTCACTCTTTTTAAAAGTAATTCACAGATTAACTGAAAATCCCATGCAACCCTCAAGCTAAATGTTCGTATGCTCAAATCAAAGTCAAACCAAATGCTTGGCTTGACAAATGGATTCTTGCTGCGACTTTGAAAATGAAAATTAAAACACTGGCTGTGTCAAACTGTATTGTGTTGCCTCAGTGACACATTTCTGCAGCTTGTGCAAGCTTCAAACTCAGTACTGGACTGAGTTTGTTTTGTTCTGAATTCACTGCTTTCATCTGTGTGTGGGTTTACGTCTGAAAGGCTCCTAAATGATGATGGAGTGAAGGTGTCTGAAGCACATGATGACATCCAAAGGTATGGGAGGATGCAAATGATTGCCATCCAAACGCAGGTACCTGAGACAACAGAACAGCAGCATCAAAATGCTGTCACAGYGACTGGGCCATTTCAAACATGTTATTCAAGTTGTGGAGCCAGTTCACATGTGAGATCTTGTTATATGTGACTGAGTGTGTTGTACCTTAGCCTTGGCACAAGACTGTCGTCACTCAGGTCGGCCTGCATTTCGTAAGGACAAATTTCCGTGCCGTTGATGCCTATCAGTTGAACAAAATCAGAAATGCCAGGTTATGCGTGGTTGCACATGAAAAAGTTTTTAAAAATCGTTTTCAAACACACAAACATTGAAATCATTGTTTAGCTTGCATGTTTGTACATTTTGATACATAACGAACGAGTGAGCAGCTGAAAACACACCAGTCTCATTTTGAGACTCTGGTATTCTGAGGTAACATTCATCCAAACATCAACGTACGGTTCATGTTTAATTAGTGAGGACAAACACGACTGCACTGACACAATGACAATGCAGCTTTACAGATAACACCTTTGTTGTTTGTGGCAAAAATGCTAATTTGCAAGATTAAGAAACTAAACTGTTGACTCTAACTAAATACAAATGAATGTAGGCCCGCTGGCCGGGGTGGCTGCTGGGTTCCGGGGGGTGGGCGGCTGGGGGGGTGCACTTGGTAGCTGGCGATGTGGTGGGGTTGTCATGGGTGTGGCTTCTCTGCGGCGGGGGGCTGGCCGGGCGTCCTGGTGCGGCCCGGGCCGCCTGGCTATCTGCTCCTCTCCACCTCAGAATGATTGGGTCTACCTCCTGGGTTCGGGTGTGTGCGGCCTCCATTAGAGGGTGGGTACATGTCCTGGACCTGGGGGGTATAGAGTGTGTATCGGGGGTATGAGTGGAATGTGGCGTCCTTGTATGTCTTTGACTGAGTGGGGGTGAGGATGAGGGTGGGATGGTGCGATTGTGTATGTTTGGGTATTTGTCAGGCTGCGGTCTGGGCTGCCCCTCCTGCTGGTTTATCTGGAGGCCCGCTGCTGCTCGGCCCCCCGGTGGGGTGTGCGGCTGGCCGCCGGCGTGCTGGGGGTTCCCGGGGTCTGGGGCTGGGCGCTGGGGTGTGTGCCGGCCTGGCCTGGTGACTGCCTGTTGGGGTTCGGGGCCTCTGGGCCTGTCGGGCTTTGGCCTGGGGGGGTGCACCCTGGGGGCCCGGACCTCTGCGCCCTTTCCTGGATCTGCTTTGGTATGGCGGGTGCCGGTGGGGCCCATGAGTTTGTCGCTGCTGGCCCCAGGGGGCTGTGCATGTGGTCGCTGGGGGGACTCTCCCAGTTCTCCCCTATGCTCTGATCTGGGGGGTGGGTGGGCGGATCTTCCCGTGTGGGTGCCCCTTGGGGCTCTGCGCTCGGGATTCCTCTCAGGCCCTTGGACTCTGGTCTTCCCTATGTCTGCCTCGTGTCTTGGGGGTTGGGTCTCGGTCCTCCACAGTCACTATTAAATATTCCRTTGGAGAAATCTTGTATAYACACGCATGTTCACAAMYGCTCACAAACAGGTGYTCTGATCCRGGGGTTCTGACTGGTCACTGAGTGTGTATGTATGTCTATGTGTATATACAGACAATATTTATGAATGTAGGCATGCATGTATGTATATCTTTATATATGTATGGGTATGTGTATATTTTTTATATGCCTTCTATATATTTATCCATTTATTTTTCAGGTGAGCGGACAGATGTTGGGTGTGTGGTCCTGTGTTTTGTTGGTGTATATTTAATATAATCCTAATCGCTATTTCAGTCTTTCTATCTTTCTAATTACTTCTCTCTCTGTTTTTCTCTCTCTCTATTTTCTCTTCACAAAAAAAAACAAAAAAACAAAAAACAAAACAAAACAAAAAAACCCCCCAAAAAAAACATAATGGTGTGGAGGGGATGGCTATAAGGGGAGAAGGGAGGCCATCCTAAGAAAAAAACAAACAAACAAAAAAACAAAAAAACAAATGAATGCAGAAATGTTATGACCAAATTAAAAGACAATGGATGTAGTTAATATGCATAAAGGACACCTAATATTTATTATTAAATTAGTGTAGTAAATTTTTGTAATGTAATTGTTTCATGGAAACTAAGATATTTTAGTACGACCTTTAAAATGAATTGCATATTAGCCGCTGCCTTGCAGGTAGGACATTAAATCAAGCAGATTAATTTTGTATAAATTTGAGGATAGTTGAGAGGTTTTACCACATGCATAAACATGTGTCATCCGCATTAAGTCTGACATAAAGACAGAATCCTAAATGTCTGTTAAAATGCAGGCTGAATGGAATGGGACTGAAAATAGTTCCTTGTGGGATTCCGGTTTTGTTTTTGTGGGAAATCAGCTAAGCATTATCAGTCACAACACTCTGTTGATGTTTTCTTTTTTTCCAATATGACTCAAATTAAGATGATAGCTCTTCTTATAGACAAATTATATTTTTAAAGATGTAAAATTAGGCCTTTATAATTTACTGCTCCAAATGCTATTTTAAAATCCACGCACACAGTTTTCTCTATGCTTCCTGTATTAGTGAAGAGAAAACAGTAGCAGAATGCTGACAAGGATCTGGTGGCTGAATAACCAAATATGCAACTCAGAAGTCAGAGTATGATGCAAAAAAATGATTTATACAAAGTCTGAAACGGTATCAAGGTAATAAAATCTGTCCAGTGATGTTAAAAACTTACTCTCAATGCTGTTGTGGTTGAGATGCAGGTGCTCCAGGTGACTGTTGAAGAAGGGAATCGCTGTAAGCTGGTTGTGGGCCAGCTGCAAGTCCAGCAGGGTGGACACATTGAACACAGTCTTAGGGAGTCCCTTGTCGCTCAGCTGGTTGTAGTTCAGTCTCACAAAYGCCAGGTGAGTGAAGTCTTTGAAGTAATCTCTGTAAAAAGACAACCAAGGTGGACACAAACAACTTTAAAATTTMWCATCAGGTCAGTTCTAATAAATGAGTAAGGTGTTTATAAACCGTAGGGCAGTCTGTGCTGAGTGTACTTGCTTTGGGATGTCATCTATACGGTTCTTGTCCAGGTAAAGCTGAATGATGTTGCCCGGCACGCCAGAGGGCATCTTCTTCAAAACATTGTGAGCCAGGTTGAGCTGCATGAGGCTCTTCAGGTCCTTCAGAGTGTTCTTTCCCAGGTTGATGTCACTCAGCTGACAGAGAAGATATCACACACTTATCTACTCCAGAAACACATCAGCTTGTTGCAGTTGCTGCAGCAAGGCTCACCTGGTTGTAGTGCAGGTCAAGTAGAGTCAGGTTCTCCATCTTGTTGAAAGCTCCAGCGGGAATCTTCGAAATGAGATTCCTGTCAAGACGAAGCTGTTCCAGTGTTGCAGGGAGGCCTGATGGGACTTCTTTGAGCTGGTTTTTCTGCACGTACAAATACAGCAGTGCTGGGATCTTCTCAAAGACCTGCAGGAGAGATTATACCAGCTGAAATGCAAAAGTAGTTTTGGGGGAATCTTTTTCAAAACTTGTGAGTTTTACTGGCGATAAGCCCTCTGACCTGTTTGTCTATTTTTTGAATGCGGTTGTTTGCCAGATTGATCCAGCGGACCTCAGTRGCGTTGTTGAAGGCTTCTGCAGTCACCTCTGAGATGTAGTTGTTCTGGAGATAAAGGTAGTGAATTCTCAACGGGATGATCGGGACCTTACGGAGGTTGCGGTTCTCACAGTTGAGTGAGTTCGGGTAGCTTGGGTGGCAYAAACACTCTCGAGGGCAATCAGGAAAGATGGAAGGTGGGCCCAGGATGGGTGGGGGGAAGTCAGTGGGCTCCTGAGGCTCTGGTTCTGTTGGCCCTACAGGTTTGCGGACTGGAGGCTTCCTGGTTGTRGGTGGGCGTTTGGTAGGCCTCTTTGGCCGAGGCCTCTGGGTGAACACTGCTCCGATTAGCAGGAACAGGACCAATGAAGAGACGAGTCCCACACCAGCCTTCATTGTCCTACGGAACACAAAGAGAAGCTTAACACACCAGACACACATTGAAAGGTTTGCTCTATAGTCCCACAGTGTTACTATAGTTTAACACAGAGTTTGCATGTTCTCCCAATGCATGTGTGGATTTATACCGAGAGCTCCGGTTCACGGTCCAAAAATATACGTTAGGTTAACCCTTAATTGTCACTAATCTGTAAACTCTTTTAATTCTCACTCTGTTTTCTGTAGTTTGTGTTGCACTTGTGTGTTTGAAGTCCTGCTTTCACCTGCTCCTGCAGGAAGCGGAGCCACWTGGATGACACATTGGGCATGTAACTTTTTCACTAAGTGTGTTTCCATTCTGTTYCGCCAGCGTGTGCCCCTTAATCTCCATCCAACCACACTTATACTTTTCCTTCCTCCACTTTTAAARCACTCCTTTTGGCTGGGGTTCTTCTTTCCACCCTATCGGCACCAGCCAGCTTTGTTTTTCTACCGCCATCAAATCACTGCTCTAGACTTTCCTGTGTGACCGATAATATGTTCAGCCCTTGCTATAAWCATACCAGGCTGGATGATAATTGATTACCTCAGTTTTATGCGCAAAATGAAATGGTTTGACTGTAAAAAATATTTTAAAAATTGAAGAGATGGGCCCACAGCTGAGTGAATGTGGAATTTGTCATTTGTCAAGGGATAAAAGGCAGATACAGCAGCTCATGAAAAGAAAAGGATAAAGGCTCTGTTGTCAGGACTWACCCAGAGGGAAAACTAGGCTGGGTAATTTCTTTGTGAGGCAGGTTAACACACTTTGACCTGGGCAGAGGCCTCATGGAAACCCCTCTAAGCAGCTCTTTTAAAACAATGTCAAGATCAGTTTAAAATTTGCAAATAGTGCTTTTCTTTTAGACACTTTTAACCAGTGACATGTTTTGTGCACAGCTCATGTTTTTTTTTAAGTTGCTTACATTGAGTGTCAGCATTACTAGGCTACAGACTCATCTGAGACACACCCAGTTTTCTTTTTCACCAGGAGAGCAGAGGGGAAGGGGTTGTTGGTGTGCAATGTAAGCAGTGACTTTTTCAAATATATCTAACAGATGTGGAAAACCAGCTGAGCTGAGCTGCAAGATGTAAAATACGATGCAAAAAAACACTTTTCTAATTGAAAAAATAAGTTTCATTTTTCATCATGATAAGGGTTTAGTTTAAAAAACATTTTACATAAACAAATAGTTTCTGTGCTTAATCAAAACCCTGCTTTCAGAATAAACCTCCATCATCCACACACCAGGAGTTAATACTGTGGGTTTGGAAAGTCTCAACCCAGTTTGATAAACATTCATGTAAAGTTGTGTGAAGTGAAGTGGACAAGGCTGCAGAGGAGAGTGGACTAAATTTTACTAAATAAAATTAGGAAAAAGTAAAAAAGAGGCCTTACAGAAGCAAAGACTCGAAGAAAATGGAAAAGTCAAAGCAATAGAAGAGCTTGAAGACATGAAGACACAACAAACAGCCACAAAAACCTGACAAAAGAGAACTGAAACAAACAAAAGTCTGAGCAGAAACACCCAAAGAATAATAAAACAATTTGAAAATGATCTTAACAAAAAGTTAACCATAAAATTCCAACTTCTGGGACACAAAGTAAGGTCTCACGAAAACAAAGCCCCAGTAAAAGCCCTGACACATCWCATATRAATCACCAGGCAGCACTGAGACTCAGAATCTAGGCCTGAAAAAACATATCTGAACTCCCCTCTGACAGCGTTCCCTGGCGTTTCCTTTCCTTTTCACACTCAAAGCCTCGCAGCTCTTACAGATCAAGCCTCAGTGAAAACCAGAACCAGCTTTTCTCCTCTTTGGGCTGCTTTTATGAGTAAAGTTCTGGCGAACAACGAAAGCCTCAGTGTGACCTCTATAAGTACTTTTGACACATAAGTACTAAACTTATGGCTGGACATGACTAGGATGTAGTAGTTCAGCTCAYGAGTCATGATGCACTGACTGAAATCTGGGATTATAAGATGGGTGTTTCCCAACTTTTCACAAAACTAGTTTGGTGAAGTGATTTTTCAAACATGCAGGAAAGCTGCATTCATTCAGTCATTTTAGAAATGCTAGGCTTTTAATGATGATTTTAAATACATGTCAGTTCAAACTAAACCTTTTATTGTTTTGTGCTGGTAAATAAAACAGGCACCACATCATGACAGACCCTCTACCATGTTCTGCTGTGGATCAGGTGTGTTGATACTCTGCTCCTATGTTTTCTTAAAAACATGTATTTAATAGTGTTGTCTTACATGGAGACCAAGACATTCTCATATTTAAAGGTTGATGTTGCATTTTTTTAAGTTATCGTCAGTCTTTGTGAACTTCTGCCAAGTGTTTTAGTCTCACATTAGTTCCTCTTGTAACAAAAATGTAGGCTCTTTGTTGGGTTTTGTGTAGCCTTTAGAAACTTTTATTTAATCTTATTTTTTTTTAGTTTCAATCAAACTCTCCTGATCTTCCACATGGTTTAGTTTGTGAGACAAAAGCAGAAAACCAGTAAATGGCTGTTGGTGCAGCTAAAAGGACAGTTCAGATCTTTTGAAGTGGAGTTTGGAAAGATTCTGAATAAACAATATCTTACCTGTTGTAGATAGCTTTTAGSAACGATGACAGTTTGGAAAAAAATGGTTTATTTCTAACCAGATTCATGAACTCACAGCTTGTAGAAGCCAGACCAAGACATGCACAAAATAATGCTGTCTTAAAAACAACTTCATTTGCAAAAATTTCACGGTGGCTCCYACAAACACTGTTATTAACCTTTACACTGCTGTTAGTTTTACAGTASAAATTGAATTACAGTTACACAGAGTCATCTGGTTATTTGTGAGCACAAGTTGCAAAAACAGCATCTAGATGAAGCACATTAGTGTAGCCTGAGGCAAATCTGGCGCAACTTTTTGAAGTAAAGCGAAAAAAAAAGGTAAAAAATATAATCAGCATGAAAATAAATAGTCTGTGACTGATGTTTGTTTTAAAATAGTCTTTAGATGCTCATCAGCAAACACAAATTGAGCTTGAGCTATCTACAACAAGTAAGATGTTTACATTTCAAAACATTTCTATAACTGCACTCAAAGCTATGGCCCAGACCAAACTATTTGAACTATTGCTTTAAGCATACAGTTAGTCYGTTTGTTAATGGACTAAAAGGATTTACTTACTGAAGTTAGTTGGAATTGACAGCAGAAATAATCACTGCAGCTGCAGAAACATGAAGTTTTGTAACATAAAAAGAAATACTTATAAAGATTAAAGATGATATTACTCCTATGTTGCACCAAGAGTTGAGTTAAAAACATCTCTTTAGTTCCTCCACCAACRTTCTCGTGTCAGTTCTTAATTTTCTGTCAGTTTTTAAATTTTGTTTTGGCAGAAGAGGCCCTGGCATTCCTTTAGCCAGAGTCATACCCAGAGTTTAGCCAAACGAACAGAGCTATGAACAAAAGTTGTCTCCTACTGCTGAGTTCAATCATCTGACTCAGATAGCCAAAAATGTGTTTGACTAAAACACACAGTTACATCTGTAAAAGTTTATGCCCAGGAAAAAGTTTGAAATAATCAATCTCTTGTGAAAAATATAAAAATATTTAAAGGAAAACATTCTGTTTTCTTGTCTGACTCAATCTTTARTCTGTCTGTAAACCTTATTTTTTCTGACCATCAGCCAAATAAACCAAGACAGACTTTTTGTTTGTTTTTCTACATTCTTTCCACTCTGCAAACCTTTTTTTCTTTTCACTAAGCTACATTACAGGAAATTGGCACAAAATGAATCTACTTGATCACCATGCATTCCAGGTGGTTTTTAATGCATTTCCAAATTATTCCTCTTCAGTTTTGTAATGGATTTTTGGTTAACACCCTTCTAGAATCAACATGGACCGTCAGCAGAGCAGGGAAAGAAGCCAACCATTAAGAGCTGCTTCAGAAAAACATTAAACATCCTCATGATTGCACCAGCGAAAGTTGCTGCTTTTCTTTAAAAACCAAATTAAATTAAATTAAATTAAATTAAATTAAATTAAATTAAATTTATAAAAAAAAATCGTGCCATGGCAGCTTTCCTCACTGACTTTGCCTCAGGGTGAGGAGGTGGGAGGTAAAAGCTGCAGCTGCTCAGAGGGAAGAGTACCACTTTGGATTTTAAAGTGTTTCTATAGAAACCCAGGAGCCCGACTCAGCAGTGTTTGAGCTGTGGATTCGGTCCACAAACACCATCCTCTATGAATTCATCTCTTTGTGTTGGACACTCAAACACTAATGTCTTCTCAAAGGTCTCCTTATCACAYCAAAAACAACAAATAAACTTTCTTACCTGTCTCTGGTACCTGCCCTCTTTTGTCAAGTCACAAGTCAGCGTCTTTACTTCTCTCTGCCTCTCACACTCTTTTCCTACCCCTCCCTCTCTCTCTCTCTCCCTCTCCCTCTCCCTCTCCCTCTCCCTCTCT